ATACATGAAAGGCACATGCTCTAACATGAAGCTGTGTACTCTTTTTCTCTCTTCTTTCCTTCCTTCTTTCACTTCTTATCTTTGTTTTAAAAGTTTCACTGTATCTCAGCAGCCCTGAAAGTCATGCTGTCCTCAAATTTGTGATTCTTCTGTTTCATCATCATGAATACTAGAATTATAGGAGTGTACCACTTATGCCCAATTACATGGTAACTTTTTTTGCTTGAATTTTTAAATGATCAATTGAATAATATTTTCAACAGAATTTCACTTGTTCTGACTAGTTCAAACTTGTGGAAACCCTCTAACTTCGTCCTCATGAATTCTTGGAATACAGATGTGTGTTACTGTGCCCAGATTAAATCCAGCACCATCTTTTTTCAATTGTTTTAGTTTTTGAGATTATAATAACATCACTTTCAGCTTTACCTTCCTCCCTTCATTACTTCCCTTATGCCCCACTCAATTTGCTTTCTTACAAATTCACTCATTCACTCAGACTCACCATTGGTTATTGGATAGCCAACTGGTACATTCTTCTCTAGGGAAGTCTATTTCACCCAATCTCAGCTTTCCTTGATTGCCTCATGAGATTCCACCTGAGCATGTCTATTAATGTCTTCCTTATTTGGGTCACATTTAGGCAGCCATGTTGGTGAGACATCACAAGTGTAGTTTCTAACGTTTCTAGGAGACAGTTCACAGAAAATTCCCTCATACTTTGACTCTTACAATCTTTCTGCCTTCTCTTCTACAACAATCCATGTGTCTTGGGTACTGGAGTAGTATTGTAGATGCATCAGTCGGGATTGGGCTCTACAGCTCTGTTGTGGTTTTCTCTAATGACAGGTATGGGGGGCATGAACATGCCACAGTGCATGTGTGGACTTCAGAGTACAACTTTGTGAAGTTGGAGAGGTTCTTTTCTGACAGAGACTGTGGAAATACAAAGCAGGTGATAACTAGTATTCAACAGGTCAACTTACCAGACAAAGAACTCTCTGATGGGGAGTACCACTTGGAAAAGACTGTGAGGTCACTGACTGTAAATAACTGGTTGTCTCTGTAATTTTTTCATATGCATACATCCTTTTCCTAATTACAGCTATGGGTAATTTTCCCACTGCTTGCATATTTAGCTCATGAAAATAATTCATATACTGGCACACAAATAGCTGTGGATGGCCAAGAAAATGATTTCTGCTTAATCTGTATAATTCTGATGCACAGAAATAATACTATGAATTTTCTTTCATTACTTAGACTGGCTTAGAAAAGAAATAGCATTCTCAGTCACAAAGACAGCCAATTTTAGACTTCAGAACAAATTCTAAACAAACTATTTGCTCCTGGAGACAAACACACAAGGACAAATTCCCAGTTGTTTATTGCTGATTCAAGGTCAGGCATAAAGCAACTTTGGTAGATATAACTCCCTGCAGTAATGGACTTTCTACATGTATTCCTAACCTCAAGGTTCAGCCCACTAACTGTTTATTATTTAAGTCCTGAATTTCAATTTCACTTTCTATGTGGGAACCCTGACCACTTAGAGCTATGTGCATGGCCAAGTGCTACTCACAGGCCGGTCAGTGTGACATTCCTACCTGAGAGATACTTTGTGATCGGAAAGGCTCTGTTTGTTAGTGTTTCCTCAAGAAGTGCTGTATGACCCTGCAAAGTTGATTCATATTTGTCCAGAGGCTTTGCTCTAGGAGGAGAAGCATGAGAGATGGAGAGAGAAGTGTTATGTAACTATATGGTAGTTGTATGGACAATGAGAAATTTTTCAGAAAGGGATAATTTCAAGATGAAGTAAAAGAGGTTACCATCAGGAAAGTCTGTGCTTGCTCCTTGTTTTTGTTTTTTTGTTTGTTTGTTTTTTAAGTCACCATCTGAAATTATCTCAGGCATGTTTTTTTTCCCCCACTGAGCTATCTCTCTGTTCTCAATCTAGCATTATTTACAGCAGAAACAGCAGGGTGATTTTCCAGTATTAGCTCTGTCTTCTATAACTGAAACATGGAATAAGTCATTGGCATTTACTGCTTCCATGAGTCAGTTTCTTCATTCAGAATATATAGAAATACTATCTCCATGAGTGTTAGTCTTCTGCTGTCAGTTTAAGAACTAACCACGCCCACCCCAGCCACTTTGGACCTCCCCCGCAGCCATCTTCTCTCTTGTGTATGTGTGTGTGTGTGTCTTTGTTCTCTCTATATTTGTCTATGTTTCCCTTTATTTAAGTAATAAATGTCTAGCTTTATGTATAGCCTTATGTCCATTTACTCTGCCATCCACCGCATCCAGCTGCCTGACTCTGCCGCTCGCCCAGGGACCCTAACTCCCCCGGCCGCATGGCGCTGCCACCCTGGAGATCTTACAGGGACCCACAGCCACTAGCAGCTGCTCCACAAGCTTCCCGGGACATCCCATCATCATATTATTTTTAAAAAAGAACAATAATGAGTTTTACTTGAATTAACTGAAATGATGCATGCCATTTTTAATTTTAATTTTCTTTAATACTAAAGGTTTTTTTACTCTCTGAAAATGTAATACATATTCACTCAACATCCCCCTCCTACTTCTCCTGAATCTCCCTCCCGAACAAGACTCCTCACCTTTACAGGTTCCATCATCTTAAAAAAAATAACCCACTGAGTCCATTTAGTATTGCCAGAACACATATGAGTATGGGACCATTTACCAGAGCCTGAACAACCTTTCAGCAGCCACACTCCAAAGAAAATGACTCCATTTCCCCACAGATATCATTTGCTAATAGATCCTCAGCTAGAGGTGGGGGGTCACATGAGCCCTTTCTCCAACCTTGTTAGAATGTTGACTTGCTTAAACTTAAACATGTCATATGAAGGTAACCATAACTGCAGTAGGTTCATATCCAGAAAAGAACATTTTATTGCAATTCTCATCCTTCTTCTTTTGCATTGTCTCTACCCCCTCTTCTATGCTGTGTCAGAGGCCATGAGAGTATATAGCAGGTGACAACTAGTGTTCAACAGACCAACCTACCAGTTGATAGATTCTCTGATGGGAAGTTCTACTTGGCATAGCCATAGGGTCACTGACTGTAGATAACTGTTTGTCTCTGCCTGTAATTTCTCCCATGAGTCACTTCATTTCTTCCCCACGAATAGCTTTGGGCGTATTCCCACTGCTTATATGTTTATCTCATGAAAATATTCCATCTACTGGGCACACATATATCTTTGGGTGGTCAGGAAGAAGACTTGTCAGTAATCAGTATAATTTTGATATATAGGAAATATACTAGGACATGCTTTATAGCTAGATCTATTGTTCCATGGCTGTAAGACTCTTAAAGTCTGCCTTGTTTATCTTGCTCAGACTAACACCAGAAAATAACAATTTCTCCTTATTTTAAGATTAAGTGCACACAATTAGCTCATTTTTACCTCAGCACAAGTTCAAACTAGACTAAAAGTCTTTTTGTTGTTGTTGTTGTTTTTCCAAGACAAGGTTTCTCTGTAGCTTTGGTGGCTGTCCTGGAACTAGCTCTAGTAGACCAGGCTGGCCTTGAACTCACAGATATCCACCTGCCTCTGCCTTCCAAGTGTGGGGATTTGTAAATAGACCTCATAAGCGTAAAATTTTGCAGCTATGCACAAGGTCAGAGTCACAGGTATCTAACCAAGGTTGCTACACAAAGCATCCTAAGAAAAGCATGCCAATTCTTTGCTTGCCAAATCCTGCTGACAAAAGACCTAAATTTGTTACTGGGAACTGTGCCTCAGGGCTCTGATCACAGTCTTACTCCTGAAACCTTGAAACCTTGTGTTGATGTGACAAATGGTTTGGCTCTTTATCACTTACCCTAGGATGTAACTCTTGTAATTTATTTTATTGCTTCAAGCCTCCTGTTAAAAAATGGTTTGGGGGCTAGAGGAGTAGAAACTAGGAGGAATTAGAAGTATGACAAGAGAATTAGAATAGAAGCAGAACAGTAAAGAGGTATGATTGGAACAGCACATGCGTGAGCTAATTCTGTAAGCCCTCAGGCTACAAATCTTCTAAGTTCCCTTTGCCATGTTATGGCAATTTACCTGAACCCTGGGAGGAAGTCAGAGAGCTGGACTCCCCTGGCTCCCAATAATGCTGTTCCCTGGGCCTTGGAGAGAGTGATATAGATGTACCATTTAGTGTTGAGCACTCAATAGTCTCACTTTCTCTCAGCATTTTCACCAGTTCTGAGTTGCTATATTAACTGTCACTCACTACAAAAAGAAGATCCAATGTCTAAGTTTGAGAATAACACTAGTCCATTAATATAGACATAAATATTTAGGAGGCACTTTGACAATGTGTCCACTCGGCAAAATAATAACAGGTTCCCACTTGGGATTTATTTTATTTTTTATTTATGTGCATTGGTGATTTATCTGCATGTATATCTGTATGAGGGTGTCAGGTATCCTGGAGCTGGATTTACTGACAGTTGTAAACTGGGTACTGGGAATAAAACCCAAGTCCACTGGAAGAACAGTCAGTGCTCTTAATTGCTGAGCCATCTCTCCAGCCCTCCCACTTAAGGGTTTATGACCTCCCCAGACATTTAGGGTTTATGTTCAGGTTTACAGTGCCAGGCATGAATTCTTTTCTGTAGAGCAAGTTCCATATCAAGCCAGAAAGCAATTGATTGCCCTATAGCCTTCATGCCACTTGTGTCGGTGGCCACATCTTGCCTAGCAGGTCAGTATTGTAGTATGCAGGATTCACTGCTGAGTAAGGGCATAGATGACTTTCTCCCTGAGTGCATTCCATCAATGGATATATAAGGGCAACATTTAGACAGTTATTCATTTTTATTTTTTATTTATTTTCTTCTTCCTTTGGTTTGATTGAGACAGAGTATTGCCGCGGACCGACTCTCTTGGATATCGATGACCGAGGGGGAACAGGAGTGAAGGCTAAGGAGAACCCAGGATTCGGTGAATGACAGACAGACACAACTCTAATGAGGTTTGAATCTGCTACAACTTTACTAAAATTCAAGCATCACTTTTATGAGATTACAGAAGGAAGTTGGCAGACACAAAGGCTTACATAGAAAAAATGATTACAGGCAATTGATTATTCTCAGCAAGTCTTGTGGTCAGGGCCAGGTGGTCAGAGCTTTTCTTTGAAATTCGTCTTAAGCCACTAACCAACTGCGCTTTCTCATGGCTCTAAATCATATCTGCCCTCAAGGTAACCTAGATACCATTCTTCAGGATTCCGCCCCCAGGGTTTGCTCCCATACTGAATGGCTGGTTACATGTTGTCAAGAATAGCCTGCTTCTCTTTCCTATCTAAAATGTACCAGGGGTTTCTCATTCTGGCTAGGCTCTCCATAAATGTTAACTCATGCCACTCCATACGTTTTCCTTCATAATTTACCCATCTCCTACCATCATGAGCTCTTTCTGTTTTAGGGTATCCATAAATTCCCCCAGAGAGCGAGCCGGAGTCTTAATCATAACATTAATGGCCTGAATCAAGGGAGGGGACTGACGATCAGTTCCTCCGTATTCAAGGAACCATTGGGAATGTTTCCTGGTTCCTTGAACAGATTAAGTTTTTGTCAAGAGAAAAGTAGAACAGAGAAGAAGATAGCAGAGCCAACGGAAGAAACCATCGCCAGGAACAAAGTGAACGAGGTCGTTGAGGCTGATCAGGCACCGCAACTCGAGCAGGCAGCCAGGGGCCGCCGGGGCCAAGCTCCAGGAAGCATGAGCCCCTCATTTCGAGACGGCCACCACCTGAGAGGCATTTTGTCACACAGGCGAGACAGCCGTGGATGTGCAGAGTATCATACCATAGCTCGGGTTGTATTCTTGTTCTGTTCATGATTTCTCTGACTAAGCACCAATGGGGTTGGCTGCTTTAGCCGTTCTAGATATTTTCTTTCTCTGAAAGAGGAATGGGGGGTAATTTTATAGGAACGGAGAGGGTGGAGGTGGCAAAGCATTGCTTGACACTGAATTCACATTCTGAATGCTTGAACTGAGGTGATATTGGATTATGTCAGCCCCTTCTCATCCATTTTATGATAGGTAGTCATGAGTTAGTCTTTGGGTCAGAGGCTAATATCTGTAGTTATGCATCAGGAAGACTGTGGTAGTTTGAATCTAATTGGTCCACATGAGCTCATGAGGAGTGGCATTATTAGGAGGTGTGGCTTTGTTGGACTAGGTATAGTCTTGTTGGAAGAAGTGTGTCCTGGTAGGGGCAGGCTTTGAGGTCTCATATGTTCAATACTGCTCAGTGTCTCAGACCACTTCCTGTTGCCTTCTGATCAAGATGTAGTCAGCACCATGTCTACCTGCATGCCACCACACTAAACTCTGAACCTTTGAACCCTTGAAACTGTAAGTCACGATCTCAATTATTCCTTAATAAGAATTGACATGGTCATGGTGTTTCTTCACAGGACTAGAAACCCTAAGACAAAGGCTTTTGTTTCTTTTATTTTTCTTTGAGATAGGTGTATTACTATGTAATCCTGGTTGTCCTCAAGTTTACTATAGTCCACAACAACCTTGAACTCTTAATTCTCCTGCCTCAGCTTCCTGAATACTGAGATTATAATTATTTATTTTCATGCATGCCCAACTTGAAAGGTATTTTTTTGACAGAATTTTTGGAGCTTGGACTAGTTTCAAACACATTATGTGGCTTGGGATGACCTTCAGTATTTGAGCCTCCTGCCTAAGTCAAACATGCAGCCATAGTGATTTTATGAGGTTCTGGAGATCAAATCTAGGTCTTCATATATGCTAAGCAAGCACTAGTAACTGAGTTACACCTCCAGTCTATAATTCCTGTTTTAAATTCTTGCAATTAAATAATATTCTTCAGGAGTTGCTTGTTTGTAGAGTTCTGGTATGCTAACCATGTACTCTTCCACTGAGCTGCACTCCTGATCTTCCAGAACGTTTGCTGTTTTTTCTATTTATTTCCTTCTGTTTGTTTGTGTATTTTTTGTTTTTCATTTGTTTCTTTGTTTTTGTTTTGTTTTGATTATCCATGCTATGTATTCTCTTTATAGTCCTGGCTGTCCTAGAATTCAGAGATTCTCCTGCTCCTGCTTCCTGGGTGCTAGGATTAAAGCCATGCACCACTACTGCCTAGAGGTTGTTTTTGCTAATATTTTGAGATAAGATCTCAATATATAGCATTGGTTGGCTTGGAATTCACTATGTAACTAAGATTACTGTACACTCAAAGATCTGCCTGACTCTCCTTCATGAGTTCTGAATTAAAGGCATATGTCACCAAGTCTGGCATTTCCAGGATTTTTTTCATGTGTAGTTTCAATAGATTTTTGCCTTAAATTCATGTCCTTATGTCTTTCCCTTGCTGGTGAGTGAAAGCTTATAAACATTTTCTGTTTTTCTTTTCTTCCTCCCTCTCTTCCTTCCTCCATTTCTTTATTTTTTTCTTCCTTTCCTTTGGGTATGTGTAAAATAACTTACACAAGTGACCCCAAAATGACTGTTCTGTCATGATTCTGATGTTTCTTCTTCAAATCTGCCCGATTTTATCTTAACCTACTTCCTCTCTTCTGGGGAAGCCACATGAATGGTGTGTGTATGTGTGTGTGTCTGTGTATGTGTGTGTTGTTTCAACTTGTCCTAAGGGTCTTATGAACATTGGGTTACCACTATATTAATGAAACATATCCTCAGATCTGTATAAATGATGAAAATGTACTCATTTAAATTTATTAATCTTATTTTGTGTGAATGACTTTTTTACCTGCCAAGTAGATATGTGTAACATACATCTGGGGACCACGGAGTTCAGAAGAAAGTGACAGATTCCCTGGAACTGGAGCTATCAAAGCTGGACAATCTGCCAGAGCAGCGGGTACTACTGAGCCACCTCTCAAGCCATAGACCAAAGATTTTTATATTAAGAAATGGGTTAGATCTGCCGAATATATATTATATACTCACTCAGAAATAGGAATTTACAATGAAGCTCTGAATATCCTGCATCTTTAAGGGATGCCCCTGCCTCTGCTTCCTGAGTGCTGGAATTCGGGGTGTGCACCATCACACAGGCCTGAAATAGATAGAAACAGTGAACATCATCCATTTGTTCTCTCCCCACCCCAGTCTTCTGGTTCTTCACGGTGCCTTGCCTCTGGTCCTGACCCCTCCAGAAACAAGCTTCTAATAGCCTAAGTGGCATCTATATGAGAAATAACAGACTCTGGGAGAGAAGCAAGTAGCCGAACTGTAGCTCACTCATCACCTCTCCCTCCTCTTCTCCGTATCCAGTCCCTCCCTCTCATCTCCAGCTCTGCAGTAGACCACCTGCTTCGGTCACTTCTCCCTCCCCGCCACATTTCCAGTGCACCATGCACATCTTCTCCTCCAGCTTTCATCCCCATTTGTCCAAGTATCTCAACCCTCACCTCCAGCAGGCATTTCCTGGGATCCTGCCAGGCAAGTCTGCCAAAGGAGCAAGTAGACCAGCTAAGCAATAGGTGAGTTTCAGATCTTCAGTCTCCCTCCATTCCTCTAAATCCAGTCTCACATCTCACTGTCTCACTCCCAGCTCTATTGCAGACTGCCTTGTGTGGCCTCTCCTCACTCTCTGCACCCATTTCCAGAGGACTAAGAGGACCCTGGTGGACCCCTCCTATTTCTTAAATCATATACTGACTCTCACACACTGATAATGGGAGACTTCAATACCTGACTCTCACCAATGGACAGTCCATCCGACAAAAACTTAGCAGAGAAATATTGGAGCTAATTGATATTATAAACCAAATGAACCTAACAGATATCTACAGAATATTTCAAACATTAAAGAATATACTTTCCGCTGGGTGATGGTGGTGCATGTCTTTAATCCCAGCAGTCAGAGGGTAGAGACAGGCAGATCTCTGTGAGTTTGAGGCCAGCCTGGTCTACAGAGAGAGTTCCAGGACAGGCTCCAAAGCAACAGAAAAACCCTGTCTCAAAAAGCAAAAAAAAAAAAAAAAAGAAAAAAGAAAAAAGAATATACTCTCTTCTCAGCATCTTATGGAATTTCTCCAAAATTGATCACAAACTTGGACATAAAGCAAGCCTCAACTGATAAAAAAAAATTGAGATTGAAGGCCCCCCCCATACTTGAAAGACCCTCATGTCCACATACTATGTTAAACTCTGCTGAAAAACTTAACTGAGCCATAGAAAAAAAGCCCCCAGGGTCAGCTAATGACTGCGAAATTTAGCTGGGCCATAGAAGGAAAGTTCCCCCGGCCCAGTCAATGCTAAAACAGGATATCTATGGGTTGCAGACTCGCTGACTAGGCTGAGGAGAGGGAGTAGCCCACCCCCAAAACATTCTATCGAAACTGTCAACTTGCTGCAGGGTTCTCTATCTAGCTTTATGGCTTTTCAGGGCAATTCGGGAAGAGACATGGGGCCATTCCCGGGGTGAGCTAAGCCCGCCAATTTGAGAACCAATGAAATGCTTGTTGCTATGCAGCCTCTTATGTAACTCTTAGATCCCTATAAATACATAATGTGCCTTCAGCCCGGCATGCTCAGTAACTTGGTTGCTGTAGCATCCATAGGCGCCTGTGTATATTCATTAAACTGCCTCTTGCTCTTGCATCCAGTGGACTGGTTCTTGGGCAGAGGGCTCCAAGTGAGAACCCCTTGACTTTTGGGATCTTTCAGAAAAAACACCCTACATCCTATCTGACCAAAATAGATATCAACTAAAACAAATCTTACAAATTCATGGAAACTGAACAACTCAGTACTAAATTAAAATAAATGTCAAGACACAAATTAAGAAATTACTTTCTAGAATTGAATAAAAATGAATAAAAAATATCTAAATTTCTGGGACACAATGAAGGCAGTTCTAAGAGGCAAGTTCATAACACTAAGTGACTAAACAAACAAACAAAAAATGAAGAGATCTCATACCAGTAACTTAACAACACATCTGAAAGATTTAGAACAAAAAGGAAAAAAATATATACAAAAGAAGTAAAGGGCAAGAACTAGTCAAACTCAAGACTGAACTTAATAAAGCAGAATTAGAGTGAACACAAAGAAGCAATGAAACAAAGAGTTGGTTCTTTGAGAAAATTAATAAGATGGACAAACTCTTATCCAAATTAACTAAACGACAAGAGGGATGGTTTTAGTACAGAGTTCTACCAAACTTCCAGAGAAGGATTAACACCACTACTTCCCAAATTACTCCACAATATAGAAATGGAAGGAACATTTCCCACTTGGTTTTATGAAACCATAGTGACCCTGATACTCTATATAAAGACTCAACAAAGAAAGAATCACAGAACAGTTTGCCGTTTGAGGATAGGTGTAAAAATTCTCAATAAAATATTTGTAAACCAAATCCAAGAACATATCAAAAAGATCATCTGCCATGATCAAGTAAGCTTCACTCCAGAGATGCAGGATGATTTAATAGATGTAATTTGATAATCATAAACCCCAATACAGACAAACTGAAAGACAAAAATGGCAGGATTATCTCATTAGATGCAGGAAAGACATTTAACAAAACAGTGCAATTTCATCATAAGAATCTTTGAGAAATTAGGAATGCAAGGGGCATACCGCAACACAATAAAGACAGGTTACCACAACCACAGAGGCAACATCAATTTAAATGGAGAGACTCAAAGCAATTCTACTAAAATCAAGAATAAGACAAGGCTACCCAGTCTTCCAATTCTTATTCAATACAGCTCTTGAAGTCATAGCTAGAGCAATAAGACAACTAAAGAAGATAAAGGAGATACAAATTGGAAAGAAAGAAGTCAAAGTATCTTTATTTGCAGATGATATGACAGTATTATAACTTAGGGTTTCTTTCTTTTTTTTTATGACTTAGGGTTTCTATTGCTGCAATGAAACATCATGACCAAAAAGAAAGTTGGGTAGAAAAGGGTTTTTTTGTTTGTTTGTTTGTTTTTGTTTTTTTTACACTTCCATATCTATTTATCATCAAAGGAAGTCAGGACAGGAACTCAAACACGGCTGGAATCTGGATGCAGGAACTGATGCAGAGGCCATTAATAGGTTCTGCTTACTGATTTACTCCTCATGGTATGTTCAGCCTGCTTTCTTACAGAGTCCAGGCCTGCCAGCCAAGGGGTGGCACTACTCACAATAGACTGTGTCATCAATTACCCACCAATCACTAGGAACATGCTCTATAGGCTGACTCACAGCCCAATCTTATGGAGCTCTTTTCTTTTTGTTTTTTCAAAACAAGGTTTCTCTTTGCATCACTCCTGGCTGTCCTGAAACTCCCTTTGTAGACCACGTTGGCCTCAAACACACTGAGATCCGCTTGTCTCTGCCTCCCAAGTGTTGAGACTAAAGGTATGAGCTACCACCACCTGGCTATAGGCATTTTCCTCCTCTTGGATGACTATAGTCTGTATCAAGTTGACATAAATCTAGGCAGTACAGTATATATAAGTGCCTCTAAAATTCTACCAGAGAACTCCTGCAGCTAATGAACACTTTCAGCAAAGTAACTGCCTACAAAATTAACTTACAAAAATCAGTAGTCTTCATATATACAAATAATAAACAAAGAAAGAAATCAGGGAAACAGCACCTTTCACAATAGCTTTAAATAATACAAAATATCTTGGGGTAGCTCTCACTAAGCAAGTGAAAGACTTGTATGATAGAAACTTTGAGATATTGAAGAAAAAGACAGAAGATATGAGATGACAGAAGAGTCTCCCACGCTCATGTATCGGGAGGATTGGTATAGTAAAAATAGCCATTTTACCAAAAGAAGTGCAAACATTAAGTGTAATACACATCAAAACCACAATGTAATTCTTCACAAATCTTGAAAGGACAAATCTCAACTTCATATGAAAAAACAAAAACCCAGAATAGCTAAAAAATAACCCTAAATAGTAGAAGTGCTGGAGGTATCACTATCCCCAATTTCAAGTTGTAATGCTAAGCTATTGTAATAAAAACAGCATGTGATTAGCACAAATAGAGACACACCCATCAGTGAAATCAAATTGTAGACCCAGACATAAATCCACACACATTGATGGACACCTGGTTGTTGATAAAGAAGTTAGAAATACCAACAGTAAAAAGAAAGCACCTTCAACAAATGGCGCTGGTCAAATTGGATGAAGACATGTAGAAAAACCCAAATACAGCCATACTTTCCACCATTCATAAAACTCAACTACAAATGGATCAAAAATATCAACACAAACCAGATACACTGTTGCAGGAGATTTGTTTACATTGTTGCTTAGAGACCACCAATGGAGTCAGGCCTTGATTCAGAGGCTGGGACCCATATTCAGCTGACTGGGGTGGAACATAGAGTTTTCTGGGAGACTCAAGCAAGATAGACAAACAGACAGGAGAAATATGAGAGCCCAAAGAGTTGAGTTAGCCCTTTTGAGTGGGGAAGCTTGGAGGGTAGTGGTCACTGTTCATTTTGTCTGTGAATATATAGGGTTTAACCCTAATATCTGACTCCCAATCATTTTTTATTAATAAAAATTTTTAAAAAGCTATCATATACACTGAACCTGATAGAATAGTTAGTGGGCAATAGTCTTGGATTCATTGGCACAGGAGAAGGCTTTCTGAACAAAATACTGCTAGTATAGGCACTAAGATCAACAATTAGCAGACGGGACATCATGAAACTGAGAAGGTGTTCTTTTTGCCAATGCCTCCCTAGTGCTGGGATTAAAGTAGTGTGTCACTCCATCCCCCAGCTAAAGCTCAGAAGCTTCTGCATGGAACAGAACACTGTCATTTGGACAAAGTAGAAGCCTACAGAATGGGAAAAGATTTTTTTTAACCAATTCCACATTTTATAGATGTCTAATATCAAAAATATAAAGAATTCAAAAAATAGATATCAAGCAAACAAATAATACAATTTAAAAATGGAATGTACATCAAAACTTGAGAGTTCTCAACAAATGAACCTCAAATGACTGAGAAACTCTTAAAGAAATGTTCAACATCCATCAGGGAAATGCAAACCAAAACTACTTTGATATTTCATCTTACACC